TGTCTTAACACATCTCTTGCATCACTAATCTGGTCTTAGTGTCTGCTTCTTGGAGAACCCACACTGACACCCCAGATATCAACATGGCTCTTCATCCTGTAGCCTCTGGTCATCTCCTCTGAGAAGCTTCCTTTGCCACCCTAAATAAAGCATACCCCAGCCCTAGCAGGTTTGGTTCAGTGGTTAAAGCGTCAGCCTGCTGACCAATGAGTCACAGGTTTGATTCTTGTTAAGGGCACATACTTCGGTTGTGGTTTGTCCCTGGCCCTTGTCAGGTCATGGGGGAGGTGGCCAGTCGGTGTGTCTCTTTGACATCAATGTTTCTCTCTCTCCCTCCATCTCACTCTATCTAAAGTAAACGGAAGAATATCCTCGGTTGAGGATAAAAAAAAAATTAATTTAAAAATAAAGCATATCCCAGTCTTCTCTCTCCCACAACCCTGCTCTACTGTTCTTCGTAGCTCCATCTGACTTTATTGTGTACTTTTATTTTTTGTTGGTCTTGTCTTCCTCTTGAGGGGATAAACTATACAGAGGCAAAAACTTTGTTTTGTTTATTGTTGAACCCCAGTACCGACAGCAAAGCCAGTCACCTGATAGGTAGACAATAAATTGTGAGTAAATGAATTTATCAAAAAAAATAAATGTCATATTAAGTTCACCAGATCTTCCATCAGTTCCAAACATATATAAAAGGTAACCCAGTTTGACCATCTGAAGAATATACTTCAAGACCTACAAAATGTAACTTAATAAATACAGGCCAGAAGTGGATAGAGAACCCAAAGCCAGTAGTAGGCATGAGAGCAAGTGCTGCATCACCAGAGTGGGGCTGAATCTGGCTAGAGCCGCTTCGGGGCCTGGGGCTGAGCTTTTAACGACCAGGTTAGGTCGGGTGCTGCGGCCTGAGCCCATGCAAGGTAGGAGACGGGAACTGAGATAAGGCCACATAGTTAGAATGATCGAAAACCTCCCTCTACATGAAAATGAGATTAGAAAAACTACCACTGCTCACTGGTAGCTCAGGGAAGAGACAAATAAGTCTGCATTCTGCCCCAGTCTCAGGGTGAAAAAAAAAAAAAAAAATGCATCTAGCGAAAGAAACAAAACACCAAGCCTGTGCCATGCTCAAGTTGCTCAAATTTACGTTGTTTAGATTATGCAAGAATCCTGAGCTGATAAATCACCATAAAAATGTTTCTAGAGCCACAGTAACCTCTGTAGAAGCAAATTTAAATTGTTTTGTAAAAACATTTTCATAGACACCTCTCCAAACAGGACATACAAATGGCCAAGAGACATATGAAGAAATGCTCAACATCACTAATCATCAGAGAGATGCAAATTAAAACAACAATGAGGTATCACCTCACACCTGTCAGAATGGCCGCCATCAACAAATCATCAAACAACAAGTGTTGGCCAGGGTGTGGAGAAAAGGGGACTCTAATACACTGCTGGTGGGAATGCAGACTGGTGCAGCCGCTATGGAAAACAATATGGTGCTACCTCAAAAAATTAAAAATTGAACTTCCATTTGACCCAGTGATCCCACTGCTGGGAATATACCCTAAGAAGCCTGAAACACCAATCAGGAGGAATATATGTACCCCCATGTTCATAGCAGCACTATTTACAATAGCTAAGATCTGGAAACAGCCCAAGTGTCCACCAGTAGACGAATGGATAAAAAAGCTGTGGTACATATACACAATGGAGTACTATGCAGCGGTAAGAAAGAAAGATCTCTTATCCTTTGAGACGACATGGAGGGACCTGGAAAGTATTATCCTAAGTGAAAGAAGCCAAGCAGAAAAAGACAAATACCACATGATCTCACTTATATACGGAATATAATGAACATAACAGTCTGAGGAATACAGTAGACCCAGACACATGGAAGTAGGGCACAGACTGACATCCCTCAGAAGAGGGGATGGGGGGTGGGTGGGAAGAGATAAACCACAGAACTTATATGCATGTATGCATGACCAATGGACATGGACAACTAAGCCGGGGACAGGGTAGAGGGGGGGAAGGGTGGGGGGTGCCAATGGGGTAAAAAGGTAAAATATCTGTAACAAAAAAATAAATAAAAATTCATAATAAAAAAAAAAAAAACATTTTCATAACTCAGGACTCACAAGACATCCTCAGAATAAACAATTCCTGTTGACAAATCAGACAAAGAACCAAGCCAATCAGAGGGTGAGGCCATATATACAACAATCAGAATTAGCATTCCAGGAACTAATGGTAATAAAATAATTTGATGAATCTAAAACTAATTATGTTTAAAAGTATTTTTTCAATGAAAAAGTCAACTTCTACAAAGAAAGAAAGTTCAGATTTGAGGAAAAAAGTAAATATAATACTAAAAATTAAAAATATGTTAAATTGCATATTAGATATAGTTGGAAATAGAATTAGCATCATAAAAGATGGGTCTGAAGAAGTTACTCATAGCATAGCACAAAAAGAATAAAGGAGATAGAAAAAGTGAGAGATCATGAAACACAGAGAATAGATTGAGAAGATAAAATATATATTTGATTGAAGTTCTAGGAGGAAGGAGTAGAAGATTGTGAAAGAGGCAATATTGGAATGAAGATAACTGATAATTTACCGTAATTAAAGTAATACTTGTGTTCTTCATTTGAAACATCACAAACCCCAAGCAGGGTTTTAAAAAACACAAAACACTACAAAGACACCCCCCCCCCACACACACACACACACTTGGACACATTGTGGTAAACTGAAGAACACCAAACCAAAGACAGAGTCATGGAAGCAACCAGAGAAAAAGACAGGTTACCAACCTAATAATAGCAATCAGATTAGCAGCAGACTTTGATCAATGATATAGAGGACATAGAGGCTAGAAGACACTGGAACAACATATTCAAAGTGGTAAAAGAAAACTGTGAAACTACTATTCAATATCTAACTAAATTACTATTCAAAAGTAAATGTGATGCCCGGCTGGTGTGGCTCAGTGATTGAGCATTGACCCATGCACCAAGAGGTCATTGGTTTGATTCCTAGTTAGGGCACAAGCCCAGGTTGTGGGCCCAGTTCCCAGTGGGGGGCATGCAGGAGGTGGCCCATCAGTGTTCTCTCTCATTGATGTTTCTCTCTCTCTCTCTCCCTTCCTCTCTCTCTAAAGTCAATAAAGAAAAAATATGAATGTGAAATAAAGACCTATTCATACAAAAAGAAGACAATATCCAATTCACAGTCCTTACAACATTAAACTATAATAATGTTTCATATGAAGTAAATTAAACTAAGAAAAAGTAAGATAAACAACAATATGAAAAGTGATAATACACATGACAGTCGATTTATAAACACCCCTACTGTTTAAAAATTGTTTAAGATTAATGGGGGAGGAGTTATAAGCAACTTGGAGCTAAAACATTAGACAAAAATAATATGGAAGGGTCACTACCTTAAAATATTTGAAGTCCTTTGTGTTGTTTGAGAGGAGAATAGCAATTTTGAATAAGTATTGAATTTTTAAAGCTAAGCATGCATACTGAAATTTTAGGGGCAATGAGGATGAAGTGGAATGTATAACTTTCAAAGTAGTAGCAGAGGGGGAAAGGGGGGAAAAGAAGACTCGAATGAGACATGTACAGACAAATAAACCCAGACAGAACTTGCCGCCAGCAGATCCTCACTAAGGAAATACTAAAGAATGTAGTTCGAGCAAAAGGAAATTGATCACAGATGTAAGGCATATAGGAGGAGATATAAGAAGGAACTGCAAGGATATAAGAAGATACAAGATTCTAAAATACAAGTAAGAATTAAGAGGACAGAAAATGGCCAATATCTAGGTAAATCAATACAAGCATTGAGGCTATAAAATAAATGAAAACAATGCCTTTGTGGGGTTTTTAAAAGATCCATAGTTTTTTTGTTGTTTTTTTAAAAAAATGCATAGTTTAAAAAATGACATAGTTTTAAAATACACAAAAAAGCTAGCATAGGAATTGAAGGGACATAAGTGGGAAGGGTGTTGTTCAGAGGACGATAAAGATATTGATCACTTTAGAATTGGGTAAACTGAAAATACATGCTAAAATTACCAGGTTAACCACAAATGAATAAAAATAGACAATATAATTTTTGGAGTGGTACAGAAGAAAAAGTGGAGAAAAACAACAACAACAACAACAACAAAATCAGTCAATCCAAAAGAAAACAAGAAAGGAGAGAGGAAACATAGAAATTATGGGGCAAATAGGAAGCACAATGGCAGACATAAATTAAAATGTATCAGTAATGATAACATGGAGATTTGCCAAATGCTCCAGCCAAAAGATGGTACCAGATTCAAATACCTTCTGGGAAGACTAGGTCACATGAATGTGTAAGCAGCAGATCTAGGAAAGGAACAGCTCAAATGAAATGGTAAATGATGTTTTCTCAGGGTCAGGGAGACAATAGAGTATAGTGGGGCCTGGGGCAAACTGCTAAATTTATGTTTGAAGAAGGTAACTCTCACAGATAGTTGCTGCCATGTAGGAATACAAACCCAGTGTCATGTATGTCAACAAAGCTGGGAATTCAGTATTTCGTGGGAAATCTGATTTTTAAACATAGCTACTAATTTTTTTGAAAATGAACACCAAAAAAAGGAAAAGAAAATGCTGTCAATCCACTAGAGAGGAGGGTAAATGATAAAATGAAACAAAGCTGCAAAGAGCGTGGTAAATAAAATGCAAACGGAAGAACATAAAATGAAAGACAAAAGAACAACCCTTGCAAAGCCTTGCAGCATGAATGGAGGTGATGTCTTATCCTAAAGCACCACTGAGATCCACACCCTGTAATTTGCACCCTGCTCAACCTTATCATTTGGCTGAAGAGACCTAACATTAACGGATGGGAAAAACACTGCATAATCCAGACGTAAAGTACATGGAGCCCCAGTGGTCACTCAAAACTCCAAATAATGTCTGGATGTTTGTTCCATCAATTCTGCTTACCCAAGTCTCCTCCAGGGCTTACTGGTCACCTGAGTTTATCTAGCTGTTAATAAAAATAAAAATAGTGGTGTTAAAAATGCCTGAAAGGACAGAGAGGAGAAAGTGGAGATGGGAAAAGAATCAGCGGTATTCACCTTCTGTTCTCTGAGTCTGTTATTTGAGCCGGTCCTGGGATGTCAGCCCCTCCCCATGGTCTAGGAGGTAAGTTCCCACATGTTCAGCATGGATTCCAGGGTCTTTTTAGACCCGACCCAGCCCAGCGCGTGACAGGATGCAGCAGACACCTGTGCCCAGGCTCATGCCCCTGCCGGAAGCCTTCATCTCCTCCTCCCCACTTCAAATCAAATGCACTCCCCGGTGAAGTATTCTCTGAAGGCTGCTTAAGGTTCCTGATGAAATCCCTGTATGAGGAATGCACCAGATGGCTATTTTTAAACTTACTTGGGCTCTGCAAAAATATGTGTAACGAGACAAAGAAAATTGTGTTTATCATAATTCCAGAAGGCACGAGGGGTAAATGGGTTGGCCGGATGGAGCCCGCTCCCGGCAAGGAATGCAGCCATGGTGGGGACTGGACTCTTTCCCCAGAGGGCCTTGCCTGTGGACAGGCCTCCTGCGGAAGCTGAGTCAACCCACTGAGCATAGCTCCAGTGCCTACGGTCTAATCCCTGCATGGGTGCACACAAATATTTGAAGGTTTAAGAGAGATGCATAAGAGTGTCCAGATTGCAAAGAGAAAAACATAAAATGTAACAACTGTTTAAGTAAATGTCTATAAATACAAGATGTTTACTTCTTAATTGTTAAATCTAATATTCAATGATAGTTTATTCTATGTGAAAACAATTGGTAAATTTTCTCTTTTTAAGAACACGCAACTGTAACACTCCTGAGAAATCAGAGCCAATCAAAAATGAAGGAATATTGACAGTAAATTTCAAATGCCAAATTATAAAAATGCTTTTCATTTCTTGCAGCAAAAACTTACATATAACGTGGGATGTGGGCGCACGTTGACATGTTCGCTATGTGTGTGGGCACAAGAGGACCTAGGGCCTCCGCAGGTCGTGAAGACCAGGTCCCGTGTGCAGCTGGAGGGCGGGGAGGGCTTGCGGAAGCCAAAGCAGTGCAGGTGGACAAGGCAGAGAATTGTGGTTGAGGTGGTCCCTCCTCTACTCCCCAACACTCACGAAATCATTAATAAAACTACAGACCCAGGAGAATGCTGTTTCCACTATATTTCTTGTAGAAATGGGCAAAGGATAAGGGTTGGAGACCAGATCAGATTCTGAGTGGAAGTGAGGAGACCGCACAATTCAGGAGAAGGGACAGAAAAGCAAAGGGGGAGGGGAGAGAGCCAAAGGGGAGGCAGAGCGGGTGCAGGGGTGCAGGGAGCAAAATAGGGGCTAGAGCAGGAGTAAGGGGGACAGAGAGCAGAAGGGCCAGAACAAGAGTGGGGGGGGACAGAGAGCAGAAGGAGGGCCAGAGCAGGTGTGGGGGTGCAGAGAGCAAAATGGGGGACATAGCAGGGGCAAGGGGGACAGAGAGCAAAAGCATTTCAGCAAAGGGGTGAGAGGCTATATTGAACTCACAGTGCCAGGAACTGGGGTTCAGACCAAGTTCTACCTAAATCTTTGAGGGGCAAGGATGCCCCAAAGTGAGAAATGTTACCTGCATTTGTAATGGATGCTCTTTGGAAAACATGCAACCTGCCAGGACTGTGTGGGGCCAAAGGCTGGGGCTCCCCAGGGCTGCCCCCAGAGACCCCGCAGGAGAGAAGGGAAGGGCTAGCACGGCTGCGCTGAAGACCGTGTCCACCCAGGTCTCCCAGTTGTCCAGCAGCTTGCTGCCCACCAGGTGGGGCTGGGAAGGGAGGATCTGTACTTCAGCTAAAATGAACCAATATTAAAAACAAAACAAGAACTCGGGTGGAACAGGAAACCATAGGAAGTGCACATTTCTCCCTGAGCAAAGCCCATGGGTGGGAAGCGGTAAACACAGAGCAAAGTCCATTATCTGGGGCTTGTTTCTACTTCAAATAAAAAGTATAAAGAACTTGACAAACATCTGCTTTTAGCCTCAACTTTGGAATCGCTCGAACCCAAATTCGGTGAAGAGTCGCCACGAAGCCTCCTTGGGCAGCTGCCCAGGATGATTTCCCTCGTTTGCTCCAGTGGTTGTTCCTGCTGCCTTTCAGGTCTGCCCACCTCCTGAGCCACGCACCTGCTCTGTGGGCTCCACGCCTGCCTCAATCGACCCCTCTTCTCTTTCCCTCCCCTCAGGGTCCCACGCAGGCTGGGGTTTTCCTGCAAGCACTCATATCCAGGCACAGGCTCACTAGGGTACCAGCGGTTCAACTAGATCCACACGGCCAGGTGCAGGTGCCCACCTGGGATGGGCTAGCCTAGGACTCTGAGACATAGTCACAGTGACCACTACACCTCAGTTAACAGAAACATGAGTCCTAGTCTTTAACTCTGATGACGCAGGACCCACCCTGGAGAACTGGACTTGCCACAGGTTTAGACAGACCGCTCTTCCACACTCTAGAACAGCATGTTCCATTGCCAGCTGGACAGCTCTGCAGATGTTTCGTTAGCATCCAGCCCACATATTGGAAAAAAATATCAATAACAATAAGTCATAGCAAATATTCCTCTGTATCACTTACTCATTACTGTTAGCTATTGCTTGCTATGTAAGTACAAACTCGACGAGATGATTGATATTCAAGCCTCTTTACAATAAAAGGGTCAAAACCTACATTTAATGTGTCCAATCAATATTTCTTGGGCACCTGCCACATCAGGCTGGGTTTGCTGTGAACAAAACAGACATGATTCTTATCTTAACGGAGCTTAGAGTCTGGTGGGGGAGAAGCTGTTAAACACACACACACGAAATACAGTAACCAATTGTGCTGTATACTAAGAATGAAAAAGGCTGTGCTACAAGAGAGGACAATAGGACAAAGGCTAGTTTACATGGTGGCCCAGGAATGCCTTCGGAGGAAGGTACCTGTGGGCACAGACCACAGGGATCCAGGACAGCTTGTCAGAGTAAGCAGAGCTTCTCATCCTGAGGACTGGCAAGTGGGAAGGGCTGAGCCAGGCACACTGGATACTTCGGTGACCCCTTGCACCACACGGACGTGTGCACTGTGGAGGCCTTGCCTTCCCCATCGCTCTAGCTCTTTCAGATCCTGTTCACAGGTCCTAAGAAGTACGCCGTGTTATCCACAGGGTGTCTGCGGTCTCTCAGCCTCACACCTGCCTTCTGAGACTCTGCTCTCTATTGCCCCTGGGGTTGGAAGTCTGCAAATGGTTTTCTCAAGCTCTCTTACCAACAGGTTTCCTATTGTGTTGTAGTGCTGGGAGGCAGAGGAGGGAGAGCATCAGGAAGGATAAACACAGTCTTCCTGCCTTTAGCAGTCCCAGCGAGCAGCTGATGAAGTAGCACGAAGAGCGGGTGATTGAGAACTCTTACCAAACTGCCTAACTCAGCTCAGCATCGAGCCCGGCAGGTACCACGGAGAACTGCAAACACAATTGTCACACTGAGATTCAAGGCTGGCATCACATCTGCATGCCCAGTAGAATGCCCTGGCATCCTGGTCAGCCCAGGGAGGAAGTGAGGCCTGCTTACACAATGCACACTTCAAGGCTGCCTGTGCCCGCATATCTGGACAGCTTCTGTGGGGGCAAAGGGAAGGACTGGTATAGGGTTACAACCACCCCATGGCCAGGGCTCAGAATTCTTCCCTCTTATTCTGGCAGGACTGGTAAATTGTAGGATTAAAAGGTGAGGCATCATGTTTCAAATGACAATGTGGGGTAGGGATTTTAGATACTTATGGTTCCCACCGTAGTTTTTGGACATTTGGATGTTGCCAGCAAGTTTTTCTATCCAGCCATTTGAGGCTTGTTTTTCAGCTTTTCTCGGCTGTCTCGTCCTTGCACATACCCCTTTGCCTTAGCACGGCCTCTGCCCACGGTATTCCCTTTTACTGCTCCCAGCCCGCCCCCTTCTCTCAGGTGTGGCTTTCTTCCCTTGTCACTGGAGCTTTCTCAGCTATGCAAGCAAGTGGGGACTTCCTCACCGCTGGGCTGTTCTGAGAGCAGCAGGCGCCTGTGCAGAGGCTTCGGTTGGACCTTAGACCTGTACCCAGCAGCTGCTAATCCTGGGCTCTTACTCCCAAAAGCAGTAAAACAGACTTAAGTCAAAAAACAAGTGTGGTGGGTGTTAACTCTCTCCTCTTGAGCTCAAGCCACTCTCGCCTTGACAGTTCCCCAGAGCACTGAGCTCATTTCTGTCGCCACGGGAAGGAGCGGCTGGTACAGGGTGCGGCATACGCCGGAGCTGGCGAGACACAGATTTCCCTAACCTGGAGACGAACACCAATTTGGGGGGGAGGGCGTGGTGGGGTGAGGGTTGAAGGGTAGCTTGCAAGGTGCAGAGCGCACACTTCCCTGGCTGGGAACAGGCCCCCGGGAAGGGAGGTCGTCACACCAAATAAAAAGAAGAATCAGTTTTCTTTATGGAAACTGAGGCCCATGCCTTCAGTGAACAGACATGCATAGACCTACTTTGTAGCAGGGGAAGTGCTAGGCCCCAGAGAGACAACCATGAATGAGACACAGCCTCTGCCCCAAAGTGCTCATGGTTTATGAGGGAGGTTTACACACACACACACACACACACACACACACACACACGACATATTAAAAATAGTATTTTGAGTGTTTGCAGAATGATGAATTTGCTTAAAGAAGACGGAGCAAGGAACAGTATTTAAGACGGGAACTCAAGAAAAGCTTCCCACAGGACATGAGATTCGAACGTGGTCATTTAAAGACAAGGAGGAGTTTGGGAGCCGAGAAAGGGTGTCTGGGGCAGGAGCAGCAGCCCACGCGGAGGCGGGCAGAGCCCGGCGCTGCCCGGTGGGGGAAGACAGGACTGTGGCCCAGGCACGGCGGTGAGGGGTGGAGCGGTCTGCAGAGGTTACCTGACTTGCTTAAGGTTTCAAAGTAACACAGCGCCAAGGCCGCCTGACCCGGTCTCCTCAGCCTCCTTCCAGGGCTCTTGTCCTGGGTCCTCACTGCCTTTATTGCCCATGAAAGGCAGCCATGGGAAACCAGGATCATGTTCCGTGAAAGCCCTCAGATGCCGTGGCACAATGAGAGGCTCGAGGAGATGCCAGATGGAAGCCTAGAAAAGTGAATGATTATATGCCCTGGCCGGTTTGGAAAAGTGATTATAAAAAAAAAAATGGCAATGGCCTGAATATAAAGATTATTTGTCCAAGCCCCAAATAACACATCAAATGCCCCATTTTCCTTAATGTAGAAAGTAAAATATACCAGGGCAGAGAAAG